ACTGCGGCTGCGACGGGCCATTCTTCCTTGTTGTCTTCGGTGGTGCGAATCACAGCATAGTTTGCCTCGCAGGATGAAGATTTATCTCCAAACACCAGACAGTTCATCTCGTACACATCAGGTGGTCTCGACATATCCAATCCGCGCCATAAATAACGATGGTATTTACAGTCCTCCGGTTCTAATCGCACATGACAGAACATATCCGACACATCACCAGTAAGCGCAACAGGTTTCTCACGGAATCTCATCAGTATGCCAGGTAAATCGTTGTGGAGACTGGGTCCAGCTTGAAGACAATCGTTAAGGCAGATATCACCATGTTTTGCTGCGGAATCAAATACTACTCTCGGTAGGGGTTTGTGTGGGGAGAGAACAGGGTGATGGGGTAAGAACCACTGTTCACCATGTTTTACGCGCTCTTCTTCCGATAACTTGCGTGCAAATCCCTTTTCAACATATGCATTTATCGCTTTTAAATATCCCTCAGCTAACTTCGGATCCTTCAAAAGGCGACGTTCAACCGATTCTAGGCGTTTCAAGGCAGTGTCATAATTATTAGGTAAACTAGGTCTGTTCGTTTTCCAAAGAAGTCCGAGTTGATAACCAAACTCCTGCTGCTTGCATGATTGATTAAGAATGTCCAAGGCTTTCTGCTCACCAGGCGTGTAAGGTGACTTAATCTCTGCCCGAACACCGAAACTGTCCACATCCCAGAACTTTCGTAACTCTCGATTAGCATCGCCTTCGCCCTCCGACACGTGGACACACAGGACACGCTTCTCCTGACCATTGGAGGCGGGGACTGGGCCGGCAATCACCCAACCTAAGGGTGTCAACTCTGCATATGGCTCTAAATGCCCCCCGCGTCTAACTTGCACGGGTGCCATTAATGCAGCTGCATCTAACCCTAACAGGACATCAACAGTGCCCTTACTTAGTGGCTCTATTGGGACATCATTTAGGTGGGCATAATTATGCTTAATCTCAGGCCAATTAACATCTGGGACAGGGGCACAGATATTATTAATGGTCCACCCTGTTATTTTTGCCTTTGTAATGTGTGGTGCAAATGGTAAATGTACACGTTGTGACTTCATTACGGTGCGTACCCCTCCTACTGCATCCACAGTAAGACTTTGCTTAGGCCCCTTTATGCCTAACTGATTTGCAAACCCTGCTCTTACAAGTGTGGTCTCACTTCCTGAGTCTAAAAGTACCAAACCATTGACTACCCTTCCAGAATCATCTATAAATGGAACAGATACAGTTTTCAGGGCAACCCTCTCACTTATGGGTGTGCTGATTTGTGCTTTCCCACAATGCATTGCTTTGTTTTCCTCTGGGGTCTTAGGTGGGTCATCAGATGGTTTCTCATGCTTAGACTTAGAACTGTGCAATAAATAATGATGGCCTTTGTCACATGAGTCTACCCCACATTTGGTGGACTTTGTGCACAGGCGCCGTTGGTGGCCAGGTTTCAAACAACCAAAACATACCCTTTTATTTTTTACAATTTCCCAACGTTTCTCAACAGAACTATCAAAAAACAAAGGGCATGAGACTTCAGTGTGTTTTTTATCACACAATGGACAATTTTTTAAACTTTGGTGTTCTGGATCAAATCCAGATGTGCATAGAGCATGGACCCTACCTCGCATGCGACTTGGTGGCTGAAAATTAGTTGACTCTTTACCCTTATCTGGCGGCTCAATATTGTATCGCTCACGTTTACGCATGGTTTTGGCTCTAACTTGGGCCCACTTGGCTAAACCCTTCATGTCTTCCGAGTAATCTTCCCTCTCAACCTGTTTTACCCATTCATCCCTTTCTCTAGGTGGGAGTTTTTGAACCAACAAGGTACAAAGAGGTATACTAGCTAATTCATGCCTATAGTCAGGTTTATCTAGTGCAAACACAGCTGCTTGTAATGCATCTGCAAAGCGTTGAAATTCTTCACGATCCTTATCCTTAATGTGGGGCCAATAACTTATTCTGCGCAAATGGGCATCTATAATTTCTCGGGGGTCCCCATACCTATCAGTGAGTTGTTTCACCGCCCTGTCATAGTCCCCAGGCTCCCCGGTCAGGCATGCAATAACTTCACGTACTCTGTCCGTTAAACAGCTATTCAGATGAGCTAGCTTGATTGCTGGCGTTAGTTTATCGTTTTTATGGACAAGAGAACTAAATATTCCCCCAAAGTACGGCCACTTATCTGGTTTTCCATCGAATGATGGGATTTCAACACCTTTCAGACCAGTTCTTTTCCCAGACATTGAATCGTTCACAGTTTCAGTATTTTCATCATTATTCTGAGCAGTTGGTGGTGTAATACTAGACTGTTCGTTTGGCGATGGGCTCTCAGACTTTAATAAATATTCAGCAACTTCTCCCAGGACTTCGTTGACATCAAATTCTACCTCTTCTAACCAGCTACCATCAGTCTCAATTGACGCTGGATCAAGCTCTTCCAGTTTTTTCTTAAGGTCACGGGCTTTCGTACGACCTTCTTCTACACCTTTGGCAAACTGTCGGACTTTCGAAACACTTCCATCGCTAGAGATCAGCTCTCTGACACGATTCATATTTCTTGTCACGCTAGCTTTCGCGACTTTTCTCTTCGCTCTACACTTGTCAATTTCGCTTACTTCTGGCATTTTCTTTCTTATCCGGCTCGACGAAGGACCAGCTTTGTTATAGACGGCGTGTAATTTTCATTAACCATGAGGTTTTCATATATTTTTCGCTACAAAACTCAACATTTTACAGAAAAACCATGTTTCTCAAAACGTTTTGTGTTCGTTCTGTTCTCTGACTTCTCTATTTTCAATGTTACTGGACAAAAGTCTATTACCTAATTTACAACATGAGCTCCACCTTTGAATTTACTATATGAGTAAATTCTTAAAATCGTCCGAATTTATCATTATGATAAATTCGCGGCACATTTTGAATTTATCAATAGAGTTAATCATAAAACCACAATCATTGCACAAGGTTTCTTGTTATAAATGTAATGGCACTAAAAGGGAGGCTGGTCGCGCGGCGGTGGGAAGTTTTTCACGTTTTTTAAAAAAATAGTTTTTAAAAAAGTTTTAAAAAGTTTTAAAAGAGTTTTGAAAAGCAAAAAAAGTTTAAAAAGTTAGATTTTTAAAAAAGTTAAAAAAATTTAAAAAGTTAAAAAAATGAGGGTTAGGGGTTAGTGGTTAGGGGTTAGGGGTTACGGTTAGGGGTTAGGGGTTAGTGGTTAGGGTTGGGGTTGGGGTTAGGGTTAGTGTTAGGTGCCGCGAATTTATTATTATGATAAATTCAAAATTTGCCGCGAATTTATCATAATGATAAATTCGGACGTGTTTAAGAATTTACTCATATAGTAAATTCAAAGGTGGAGCTCATGCTGATAAATTAACATGAACTATATAATAAACTGGACAAAGTCCAAAACATATGCCTATAGCCACGTTACCAGTACGCAACTAAATGAATCCTAAAAGTACCAACCTCGTCATTCGTCAAACATTTAAACCCCGAACGAACGTAATAAATACCACATATGACTATAGACAATGATAGACTAGGATGATGGTGCATTTCAACTTGGTCTTGGGTATATGCCGTGAAAAACGCGGTTCCGCTTAAATACATGTACAAACGAACTGATTAAAAAACAAGCCCATGCCAATGTCCAATGGAGCTCCAGCCATAGAACCTTCCGGCTTCGAGTGAATACGCATTTCTCCACTGATAAACAGACTGCCTATAAAAATCTGTGAGTATTAAGGTATATTAAGATATTTAGGACAGTAAAAACGTGTGCAAAAATTACATGAATGGGCAAGTAGGTAGGCCTATAAAATATATCTCCAAAGTTCAATCGATATGAATAAATCTACTAAGCTATTCAATAGCGGCACACAAGGTGTGTGAATATACCTACCAAACACAAATATAAAGTCATTACACTCATGGGCGTACCGGAAGGAAAAACTAGGGGGGCGGAAAGAAAATTACCCGACTTTTCAGGAATGTGCCCGACTAGTACCCAAAAATTTTTTCCGAAAAATTATTCTGGCGACCTCTCCCCCCCCGCCCCCCCCCCGTCGCCAAAAAAATTTCGGTCAGTCTACCATTTTAGGGGTCAAAAAAATTTTCCGGACATACCAAAATTTTTCGGAACATCAGACAAATTTTCAAAATAACAAAAAATTGGCCACTAAATTGACTGAATTTACGATAAAATTGACAGAATTTGTCCGATTTTTTTTATAACAAACCAAAATTGCCCGACTGTTCATCCAATATTGCCCGACTGCCCAAAAAACTGGGGGGCTACCGCCCCCCCCCGCCCCCCCGCCCGGTACGCCTATGATTACACTATACCGGATAGGCCCGGATAGCTTTCCGTACCGACATGAAAATGAGCACCTATGATATGGAATGTGGCTACAACTTAATTCCAGAAGCTGCGTGAAACAACATCTCTCCATATATATATATATATATATATATATATATATATATATATATATATATATATATATATATATATATATATATATATATATATATATATATATATATATATATATATATATATATATATATATATATAATCAAATACCAAAAGGTTTATAAACTACAATTATGGTCATTTTTATATGAATGTTAAAAAAATTTATTTACTATTTACGCGTGTTTTCTAGAGTTTACCGGAAATAATTTCGATATAACTTTCGATATTTTTTCGGTATTTTCTATATTTTCGGTATTTTCCACATTTTCGGTATTCGAAAAATCGGATATTGATATATTTTTGAAATTTCGATATTTATCGACCTCAGGCATGTTAATGCCTGGGTCTGTCCACACTTGGATGATATCTTGCGCGCGTGTTGCACGCGCGATCTGTCAGTAATGCGTCTGTTAGAATATTCGCCCCTGTGTGAGTATTTTAGTGAATTCGGGCGTTTGCTTCAAATCAAAATATAGTATATATGAGCGACAGGATTATTTTGGTATATACAATGCAAAGAAGTCGGTATACTATTCAGTTTTGATGTAATAATTGGCTCTTTGTATAGCAATAAGTATTGTATCATTTGCGACAGCTGACCTTTGAACTGCTGATATAAAATAAAAGCTTCTTATAGTGCGCTATCTTGCGATTATTCAGTATTAATTGTTGACTGTGTCTTATTTTCAATGAAAAATAGCTTGTGAATTACAAATTAATAGCACATACAGTTCACTCGGTCTTTTCCACCCTGGTATACTTCCCTTCAACCTAATGCTTCAAGATATCGGCTTGAATGCGCAATGAATGTTGTTATTGGAAATATAATATCCCTTACAATATAAAGCGGCAGACTGTTTCATTATGGCGCGTGAAATTCATCACGCGAAAAACGCGTTCGACTTGCAGCAGGGTAATTTGACGAAATTTTGCTATGTTTGTTAGCTAAAAACATTAACAAGGGAACAAAGTTTCCTGCGTTAATTTGGAAACCGTACATTTATTTGTAGATAACATTTAATGACGCGATTAACATTCGTTTGATGCCCATCATCGTAATATAACCGCATAAAATAATGAAACGAAGCCTAAATGTAAACTTTCCGAATTTATTCAATAAACAGTGATATTATGTGTGAAAGATTATTGCAATTCTGCGTCCTCTCAGTCACGAAATATACTGCTGCAGACTGCAGAGCCTCTGAATAAAAAGTATCATTTTTTGTGTTGTTTTTCGAAATATACATCACGTGATCGTTGCCATGACAACGAAAAGTAGGTCAACTTTTAGAATCTCCTTTGATAAATCATATAAAACTTGAATGGTAATAATCAAGGCCATACTTATTTTTTTATGATTTTTTGTTTATTTTCGCTAAATACACAAACTGAGACCCAGGCATTAATGTACCTGAGACTATATCGTCATCGAGATATCCCAAAAGCCTATCCAGAACGCATCGTATCATCTCAGTATGTGTTGCCTTATAAAACAGGTCTAAGGTTACGTTTACACTAGTTAACATGCACCGAATTGTTACAAAATTATGCACAAATTTTTTTGTACAGACTGAAATGTTTGAATCTTAAAACTTCTCAGACATAACTGACGTTCTGTGACCATACAAAACTGTATATTATATATTAACCTTTATTATATGAGCATTGAATTTTATACGCAATAAATTAGTAGTGAAATAAAAATCATATGCCTAAAATTTCCGAGGATCTCATTGGACATAAGACATTCGCCACTAGTGAAGAACGCCGTTTTGGCTTTCTCATTGGACGTACGGAATTCGACGCTACTGATCGAAGAATCGCGTATTGACTTTTCCCACCACTCGGGCGGCCAGCATTAAAATTCAACAAGACAATTGAAAGAATACAGAAACGAGCTCTTCGCGTGCTTTACCCAAAGGAACATTATGGTGACACGTTAAACTTAACATGCCTACAATATTTGGTGGATAGAAGAGATAGACTATGCATGCAGAGAACTTTTTAACTCGGCATCTATTAATAATAACCACAAATTAGCGGATTTATTACCACCACTAAATTCAAACAATATAAATATTAGGTCTACCTGACTACCTCAAAATATGACTTGCCAGTTTTAAAGACGAATCGTTTTAAAGACAGTTTTATTAACTATTACGCTTCAAAAGCTCAAAGAGAGTGTATAGTATTTAATTGGTGTAACTATTAGACACAAGATAAAGAAATAAAGCGTGGACTTGAAGGAGAGTCAAGCGGTTACAACAAATCCCTTGTGCAAAAGTATAAAACAATGAAACAAGATATTGCCAGGCAAGGATGAAGCTGTAAGCAACCTACCGTGGTATCTGTCCTCAAGCAAGCAGTTCAAAAACTAGGACGATGAAAGAAAATAAAGCCAAGTGCAGGAGAAGGAAGTTGAAGAGTTCTAAATTGTTCATCTTCATTGATAATTGATGATATAAAGCGCAATATTATCTGCAATTAAGAATGCCCCGTCTATAAAGGACGTCCATGATCCGTCCCTCAGTGAAACTGATTGCAATTGCACAAGAATGAATCAATTTTTTCAAGAAATCTGATATAAAAATATCTGATATTCGGCTGGAAAGATGTGACAATTTCCAGGAGAAAGTCGCAGTGCTATCGAAGAGGAAACTACTTGAACTTAAAGGCATGTAGTAAAAGAAGGAACACCGGAATACCGGAATAGCGGAATACCGGAATGCCGGAATACCGGAATGCCGGAATACCAGAATGCCGGAATACCGGAACACCTGAATGCCGGAACACCGGAGTAGTATTTTTACTTTTGAAGGACAATTTAAAAAAAATATTTCAAGTCCATAAGGAATTTTTTATTTAAGGCGTTTAAACATGAATAAAAAATGTCAATATATATACAGTACATGGGCGTACCGGGCGGGGGGGGGGGGGGGG